ATAAAGTCCCCTCCCCCCCTCCCCCGCCCGCTCCGTTTAAACCCATGGATGTCATTTAGGATAAGGCAAGGAAGTAGCGCTCCAAACTGATAGTTTAACTTTTCTAAGCAGAACGGAGCATAAACGACCACATAATCAACACAGTTCACAGTGGGAGAGTGCTTTGGACCAAAATGTACTCTGCTCTGGCAGTTTGGTAATTCACCCAGAATAATTTACTGAATAAAAACACGTGATTCAGTCTTTACGCCACTTAGTCCGCAGAAGAGCTCATATACGCTGGTTGTTTTCTTTAGTGGTGTCAAATGACATACGATGCATTTGAGGGGACGACCCCTGTGATCAAACCCGGGATAGTGGCATCTGTTTGGGGCAGGAGACAGAACTGGGAGTCCCAGACCTCCAAGTCAGTCCCGTGCTCACATCACTGTACATAGAGCCTGCAGAGGCTTTACTCCCCCAGCAACACCGCGTGCAAAAAGTCCTCCAGGAGTCCAGGGTTTTCCCGGACCAGATCCAGGCCCCTGACGTGATGCCCACCAGGAGGCACATAAAGTATTTCAGCATAAACACAGCATAGTCCGGTCTCTGTCTGTTAGGGTCCGTCATACACGTACAGTTGTGCGTAATTTCCCACGTCTGTCTGTTGTGCTGCTCATAAAAGTAACACGCCACTATGACAGTTGCTGGGACTGTGTATAAAACGGTGAAAACTCCTATCCGGATCATCAGTCTCTCCAGTTTGTCAGTCTTGGTCCCCCCTTGCTTGATTACGTTCCTGATCCTGAACAGCGACACGAAGCCAGCCAGCAGAAACATAGTGCCGATGAACAGGTAGACAACCAGTGGTGCCAACACAAACCCCCGCAGGTTATCCAAATTCTGGTTGCCTACGTAGCAAATCCCAGCCACGGGGTCCCCGTCCACAGAGCTCAAAGCCAAAACTGCTATGGACTTCATGCTGGGGATGAGCCAGGCGGCCAAATGAAAGTACTGCGCGTAACTGGCTATGGCTTCGTTTCCCCACTTCATGCCTGCGGCGAGAAACCAAGTCAGGGACAGTATCACCCACCAGATCGAGCTGGCCATGCCGAAGAAATAGATGAGCAAAAAAACGATGGTGCAGAGCGCAGGACCTGTGGTTTCATAGTGAATGTGTTCAGCGCCGTTTTCCCGGTTGCAGGCCACTTCTCCGTGTCCGGCGATCAGTCTGACAATGTATCCAACTGACACGAACATGTAGCAGGCGGAGAGGAATATGATGGGGCGCTCCGGGTACTTAAACCTCTCCATGTCAATTAGAAAAGTTGCCACAGTTGCGAACGTAGAGATGAAACAGAGAACGGACCACAGGCCGATCCAGAACGCAGTAAAAGTCCTCTCTTCCTGGGTGAAGTATGGGCTATGGCAAGGCATAGCGCAGTTCATGATCTGTCCCGTCTTGACGCGGTTGTGCAGCGGGTGGCCGTCACTGGTCACCGGCACCATGGGAGTACGGCAGAAGCAGCCCGGCTCACAGGGGGACGCTGCTGGTTTGTGTTTCCCAGGAATGCTGCGACCATAGCCACTCTTCTTCCTGGGGTTATATGGCTTTAGTGGCCGGTTGGTCGGCTTCGCCACCACGGGAGAAGCAGTGGTGGTCTGGCTACGGTTGTAGTCCATACACAACGTGTCTTGGTTGCCTTGTTCGGGCAGCAAGTCGCACCTCATTCGATCTGGCCAGGGGAAGCCGTACTGCCTCATGAGCGGAGCGCAGCCAGCCTTGGCCCGCTCACACACACTCCTGCACGGCGGCAGAGGCTTCTTGTAGTCCTCCAGGCAGATCGGTGTGTACATGCTGCAGAGGAAGAAGCGCAAGTCCGGGGAGCACTTAATCTCCACCAACGGCCAGAACTGGTGCACCTCCAGACCAGCTTCATCCTGCGTGTCGTGGTTGAACTGGTTGGGCATGTAGGTGTAGTTGTAGCCGATGCCTTTGCACAGAGGCACGGAGATTTCTTGGCACTGGAGCTCTTTGGCCGCCATGCAGCTCGTTGCATGCAGGACGAGCGTTAACAGCACGCACCATCCCGGGGTGCTCCTCTCCATCGTTGTTATCTGTACGCGATTCCTCGATAAAGTGCCAGCGAACTTGCGCTTTGCAAGTAGGCTGCAGGTCCGACTAACCCAGGGCTGAACTCATGCTGGAGTGTAAACAGTTTGTGATGACATACAGTATCTGTAGTATCCAAAAAACAAGCGCTCTACTTTCACACAGCCTGGGACACCGCCAGCCCCCCGCTCTCCTTTGTGTCGGTGTAACACGACGTCTCTCATTACCTACTCTGACTGGCGGGTGCGTTGGGTTTTATAAGGGAGGAGCGAGGACACTCCCCCAGCGTGGGCGGGGACGGAAAGTAAGTCAATCAAGGCTTTCTTCTATAAGTGTTTGTTTAAAATGTTCACTATGGAGGAAGGGCTATAATCAATTTACTCCCCCACCCCCTTCGCAACACACACACACACACTCACTGCGTTGGGGGCAGTGAGGAGAAAATTGACATGAAGTGACTGTAGACACCTTTTTAGATCATCAGGATGGGATGTTGCTGAATGCACCATGGCATCTGTCCGTATTGCTTATAAGAATATGCTGAGCCAATATTATTAACATTGTCCTTACTTTGACATAATAATGACCATTTTAACTGTAAAATGTCATTTGTAGTTTGGATAAGAGTCTACTGGGTGTGGTGAGATCCGTTTCTTCATCACATTGTTCTGCTCCTCACTGTGTTTACATTCTTAAAGTTTGAATGGTTCATTGAAGAACATGACACCAACCTTCCTGTCACAGGTTCAAATCATGCAGCTGCCACAGGGGCCATCAAGACACTGCAAGTCATCTGCATCCAAGCAGTGATTACGTTTCTTAACGTTAATGCAAAACACTTCGTCTTGTCCTCAGTTTATTTTTACCATGTAAAACCAAACCTGAAACATTTACTTAAACAAAATGAAGGATTTATAGAGGTATTTGAAATTATTGGAAGGAATGTACAGCGAGGTCAGGAAGGTTAAATTATTCAGTCCCAAATTATTACAATTTTGAAAAGAACATAGTTTTGTTTTCTAATTTTGACCAGTGAATTTTCACCTTGTGTACTGAGGAAATTGTTTTGTTCAGCCACTGTTTAAAAGCAGGCACATCAACAGATTTCCGGGTCTTTAAAAGAATTAATTCTTTAGTGCTTTGGCTTGAACCCAGATAATCATTTATGTTTAAGGAGAACAAATATATCCATCATTCATCAGCAAATGGTTCTGAAAGCCACAAGGGAGCACTAGTTCGATAGTCTGCCACCCGCTCTCCGCCGCAGCGACTGACTCCAAGTCCCTATGACTTTGACAGTGTGTGAACATGTGGCCTGAGAGTTGGATGCATGTGCGAATGAATGACAGAGAACGTGCTTACATGCTGATGTATGACAATATGAGGATGTGTTGGCATGTCTGTGTGCATGCAGGAGAACTGGAGGCACAGTGTGTGTGTGTGTGTGTGTGTGTGTGTGTGTGTGTGCTAGGGGAGGTTAATGTGGTCTTGTTAGTGCACAGCATGTGGGCGTCTTGGTCTAAAGGGAGGGAACTGTTTGTCTTAACGCTGGTGCCAATGTTTCAATCAGCACATGCTGGGCCAGTGATTACTGTGATGCACCAAGGGGCCCAACAAACAAGACTCTGTATGCACGCACACGTGTGTGTAAACAGTTTCAGAGCTTAGCCCCCCCCCCAAAAAAGATAACATGGGCAGATACAGCATTGTGATAGTACTAATTAAAGTCATTCACACTTCTTATTGGATTCTTCAGCTTCAAATGGAGCTGAGACAGTTTGGCAGACAGGCAGAGTGTTTCCAATCTACAGGTTTTATCAGAACTAATTAGCCCCAAACTGCAGTATTTACTAAAGGCTGCTTGTTTTAGCTCAGTTTGGGGTCCTTAATGGGTGGGGCTGATTGCGTAAAGACCATTTTAAGGGTCCTGGTTAAGCTTTCCTCAGTTTAGACACAAACACCTGGTTACATTTTTCCCTTCCCAACCTGGTCTAATGTTGCATGAAGAGCAACAGAAGAGAGAATTACAATAATAAGAACCGAGACCTTACAATATTAGGTAAATAGAAAGTAAAGCTGTTCTTCCTACTGGTCACTCCAGCTCCCACTGACCCTGACCAGTAGCATGATTCAGCTTGTTTCAAAGTTTTTTTCAGTGCTTTGATTGAAGAATGCTTGCCAGTGCTTTGGTGGGGTTTATACTGACGGCACAGTTGGTGTAAACCTGTCAGCTTCTGGGCAGCATCTCTTATCACTCCATCAAACCTTTGCATTATTAGTTCACACAGTAACCACCCCACTGAGCCATCGCTCAAGATGTTGAGCTGAAGTCCATGTCTACTGTCCTCTAAGATGTTCTGGCACCAGTGTCGAGTATAATGTCAGCACCAACTATATAGATACTCTACCATCTATATATAGTGTTAGGTATTTTTAGTCAGATAGATATTGGATAGATACTTTATGTATTAGAAATGTTTAGTGGAGATAGGATGTCTAGTTAGACTGTTAAATGCTTAGTCATGCTTATGAGTTTCTACAGGGTACATCTGGGCAAGGATAACTAGAGAGAAGAGTTGATGACTGTCAGCAGACAGGGTGTTTAATATTATTATTATGGCGTGTATAACTGTAGCCTTAGCCATAATATGTTCTTATGTTTAATATCACGACATGTACTAGAGGTCGTGTGAGAATGTTTTTAGCTACACACCCCTTAATCAACAGACACACACACACACACACATTGATTTGCTTCATGTTTTGACTACTGCTATGACCAGCTGCAAAGCTGGTAACAGAGACGTCTCGGTTGACGTTTCTGTGTAGTATGGGGCTAGCCCAACCGAGAGGATATAATGTATAGGCCTGGTGGGTTCAGGGTCTTTTCATCTTACATCTGCCTGCGAGCAGTTTGGAGGTGCAAGATACCTGAGTGTGTAATGTTAATTTTCCCTGTGATCCTTTGAATAAATCAGCACTGTTTTGAAGTTACCTGGACTGTCTCGTCTCTCAGAGTTAGCAATGGTAACAAGAACCAAAGACCAACAATAGAATACTACATGTCTTCTAGACTTTTCATTTCACTTATAGGTGGATCTGAATTCTTTTAGGCTATGTTAAAGCTAAAACACAGATTGCTGCCAGTCCTGCTCTGCTATTCTGTTCAACATATAATGAAAGTACAGACTTAATGTCTGTTAAATATGAAGCTATGGTTCCAAATGGCAGTAACTGTGGTATTATCAGTTTTGAATTATGACTTCCTGGGGGTATGAACTACTGTACATGTTACCAGTGGTGGAAAGTAACTAAGTACATTTACTCACGTACTTTACTTATTTTTATCGTATTGTTTTTCCTGCCTCTGTAAAGCACATTGAATTGCCTTTGTGTATGTCTTATATAAATAGTTGCCTTGCCTTCCTTAAGTACACTTTTGAGGTATCTGTAGTTTGAGTATTTTCTACTACTTCATACTTCAAATCACTGCGTTTTAGGGGCAAATATTGTACTTTTTAATCCACTACATTTATTTGATAAGTTTAGTTACTAGTTACTTTTCAGAATCTGATTAACTCTACAAAGTTCAGTTATTTGACTTTATTGATCCCTGGTGGGACATTCACAAAATACCCAGCAGTACTTCAGAATATAAGATTATAGGGCAGGGCAGTATTCCTACTTTTACACAAGTAAACCTTTTCAGTACTACACCACTGCAAGTCACAAGAATAAAATCTGAGTAAAGGATCTGAATTTGCAGAACTTCCTCTCTGATGTCAAAATACTTACTAGTGATTTTGGCTGATTTTTATGAAAAACTCAAGGCTAGTGCAGCTTTAAGGGTTCCAGTTACTCTAGCTCACAGCTGCCCTGATACTCAGTGGTTAGTTTGTCTTTCATACCAGTGACTTTTTTTTTAATAACAGGTGGAATGTTCTTCTCATGGTGGAGTGAGACTCCTCAAATACTCCCATGTATGTGCGAGGACTTCTTGGGTCTGATCCAGATGCCTCATGCTGGGTCATCCATCTCCAGCTGAGCTGTGAACTGCAGGTGAAGGCCTCAGGAAACAGGCTCCTCCTCCTCCTCCTCCTCCTGCCAGACCGAACAGCATATCGAGCATCACTTACACCAATCGCTGCCTATCAGAGTGGAACCCATATTGATTAACAAGGCTGATAGACTCGGTGGCCCCAGCCACCAACTGTCGGCTACACCCCCACCTTCTCTGTGCAATGGTGATAGTGGGTTTAGGGTTACATACTGGCCCCCTGCATACCAAATTTAAAAGGGAGGAAATGGAATTACTGCATCTGCTTAGAAGTCCATTTCTGCATTCTCTAAGCTGCCTGCCCTACCACTCCTCTATCTAACCTCCTTCCCCCCAGTCTCACCCTGATTCTCCCAGGGCTCTCAAAGTTCACGATGCTAAAAAGTACGCTTTGCAAAAAAAAAAAAAGAAAAGGTGAGGGATGGCAGGGTTCTCACAGAGCTAGTGAGGCGTGTTGTGAAACTGAAATATCCATCTTTGTAACCTCCTCATGGGAAGCTCGGCCTTGTGATACTCTCAAACTTTACTAAGATTCTCATAATATCATGTGCAAAATTGGAGTTAACTGTTAACATTTCATTAGAAACGTAAAAAACAGTTCACTACCTGGGAAGTACACCTACTAATTCATGAGATGTTGTGGTTCTGACCAGCTGGAAGTTAATGAAATTAAAAAAACACTTCAAGATTTTGCTTCATTCAACTTCCTTGCCCAGTTTTGTACCACTGCAGTACCAACAACCGACCTGACACGTTTTATTTAAACGCCTCCTGCATATCCTTCTTAAGCTGGCAATTAAATGAGTATTTAAATAAAGTGCTGCCTCGGTCCCCAGGGTAATTTAGTTGATTTAAAACTTCATGTGGTCATTGGAGAAGAGGTCTGAGTGTAATTAGATCTGACGTATGACTTCAAGATAGGACGTGGCGGCCCCCCTGACATCTGAAGATGTTTTCTTTCCTTAAGTTTGGATCTCGAAGGGAACACTGCTGTCACTGAGTTCTGAGTGGACACATAGACAATCAGTGTCTAAATAACTGAATGTACAGCAAAAATCTATGCATCCATTTTGGGAAATATAGTATATATAATGATTCCACAGCACAGATAATTAAGACTTTGGAAGTGTCATTTGCTCTGGAAATTACTCATTCATCC